CAAATTTCAAATTTGAAAGAGATGCATCCTACCTCAGGAAAACGTTATTGAATATGTCAATTGTGTTGTAATGATATGCTTCTTCTAAGTATGTTGTTATTAAATAAATCACTTTTAAAAATTAAAAAAAAAAAAAAAAGATTGCAGTTTCCCAAGAATCAGAGACCAGAAAGCAGTCAACGGTGCCACCTACTGGCCAGAGAATTATACTGCCGCTAAATTAGAATGCAGTATGTGGGTGTGGGTGTGTGTCTGTCTGTCTGTCTGTCTGTCTATGTGTGTCTGTGTGTGTCTATGTCTGTGTCTGTGTGTCTAAATAGTCCTCCAACCTATCCCCAAATTACATATTCCCAATCCTTCCCTTCCACCCATGGCCAACTCCAGGTCACCACCCTGTGCAGCCTGAACTACTGCAATACCCTCCTCCCTGGTGTCCCCACCACCCCATGTCCAAGACATATTAGACCCCAGCATCTTTCCACTCAAAACCATCTGAGTGCTTTGCTTATACCTGATCCCAAATAATAAGAACAAGACATTCTGAGGTACTTGTAGAAATATTAACTTGGACTAGGTCCCAGGTAATAATAAAGAATTATGAATTCTTGATGATGCTCAAATATATACATATATATTTGAGATTTTTTTAATAAAAATGTTAATTAAGAAAGCAAGAGATTCCGGTATGGTGGTATCCACCTTTAGCCCAGCACTCGGGAGGCAGAGGCAGACAGATCTATGCAAGTCTGAGGCCAGACAGGTCTACATAGTGAGACCCTGTCTCAAAAACAAAAACAGGCCCGGGTGTGGTGGCGCACGCCTTTAAACTCAGCACTTGGGAGGCAGAGGCAGGTGAATCTCTTAGTTCGAGGCCAATCTGGTCTACAAGAGAGTTCCAGGACAGCTAGAGCTACAGGGAGGCCCTGTCTCAAAAAAAAAACAAAAAAAACAGAAAGCGAACAAGAGAAAGCTGGAGATTTAACTCAGTGGTACAGTGCTTGTTTAGCAAGCACAAAGCTGGGTTTGGATCCTGGCATCGGGAGGAAGAACAAAACAAAGGAAACAAGAAAGCCAGATCCGGCGGCTCATGCCTGTAATCCCAACTCTCAGGTGGTAGAAGCAGGAGGATGGTGAGTTCAAGGCCAACCTGAGCTACATAGCAAGACTTTGTCTGGAAAAAAACACACAGAGACAGAAAGAGAATACGAGATCACAGCAGGCAGAGAGGAGCACTGCGGAGGCCCTAGCGCAGGAGTGTGCCTGAAATTCTATAGCTGGGACAGAATGGTGTGACAGGCGAGAACAGGAAGACAGCCTCCAGAGACCACAGTGAGTGACCCTCTGACATCTTCCTGCCCTCAGACCAAATAAAGTCAGAAATAAGTGAAACACTTCACAGACATGAGATACCATTGCCACCAAGGCAGAGAGGACCTCAGTCAGCTAGCTCCAGGCAGTCTCCCCACTGCCTATTCAGAGCCTTAAGCTAAGGCCAAACTTCCCAGTGCAGACTCATGCCATGCACCGGCAGTCAGCCCAGGATACAGCTGGGAAGGAACAGAGGACTTTTGGCTGAAAGGTACCACACTGATCAAAGCCTGAGACAAAACCCCAGCTCACAGGCTCTATGTCTCCCCAAGCCGCAGGCTCCTATCTATAAAATGAAGAGATAGACTCAGTTAGCCCTATCATCTCAGGATTGAATCCTCCTGGAAAAGAGCCAGAGCACAAAGGGACAGGAAGCATGATTCTCAGTCCCCTCTGGACCACAGTTACTCCTCTCTCCTCAACACAGGCCTCTAGTCTCCTATAATTTTCCAAAAAAAAAAAAAAGAAAAAAAAGTGGCCAGGGCATAGCTCATGGTTTAGTCTGCTCGGGGGCGGAGTGCCCCAGACTCCAAGGCCTGAGGTAAAGGCCAGCATAAGAGGACTGCAGAGGCAGGAGAGCTTAATGAGAGGCATCTCCTGAGAAAACACGTGGTACAGGGCACTGTGGAAGGTGTTCCCCAAAGTCACTGAGGTGGGGCTTCACTAGTAGGGTAAGACGCTGGGGACTAGATGGGGGGTCCCACAGGATGCCAATCTTGCTGATACTGTAACATTTTAACTTTAACATGGGCATGCACTTAACATACACTTGTGAGACTAATAACTGACAAGGAAAGGAAAAGGGAAGGTAGAGCTGGGAGGGAGTGCCTGTTTAGCATGAGCAAGATACTGAGTTCAAGCTCCATCACCACATACAATTAGATAAGTAAAAAGGAATGAAAGTAAAAAGCTCACCCTGGGACAGAGGAATCTTAGAATAAATACAACAGACTGGAGGCATCTCAAAGAATAAATGTTCCCAGGTGCTGGAGACACAGCATATAGAGCCTTGTTCTCTCGAGCACTTCCTGAGGTAAATGCCAGACGCACCAGCATCACGCTTCACGGCAGAGGAGATCGAGGTGAAGTAACTCCATTCATCCCTTCATTCAGAAACGTATTTTGAGCCCAGCATGTCGGCACAGGCCTGCAATCTCAGTATTTGCAAGGTGGAAGCAGGAGAATCAGGAGTTCAAGGCCAGCCTGAACTTCCTCAAAGCTCTCCCCAACCCACATGCAAAAAAGAAAAGACACAGCTTTTGTCTGATTTTGTCTGCCTACTGAACATATGCCAACTCTTATGCTGGGGTTGGGGTTTGTTTTTTTAATAAATTGGTGGGTTTAAAAGGCTTAATTGAGGGGCTGGAAAGATGACTCAGCAGTTAAGAACACTGGCTGCTCTTGCAGAGGACCCGGGTTCAAATTCCGGCACCCACATAGTGGCTAACAACCATCTGTAACTCCAGTTCCAAGGAATCCAACACCCTCTTCTGTCTTCTACAGGCATTGCATGACACAGGTTCACTTATATACATGTAGGCATAACTAACTCATAAATTTAAAATATTAATAGTTTTTTTTGAAAAAAAAAAAGGCCTAATGGAGCCGGGAGATGACTCAGTAAGCAAAACGTTTTCTGAATAAGCATGAGGACGTGAGTTTGGATCCCCAAGCCCTACATCAAGTCATGGTAGAATGGAATCCCAGTGCCAGGCAGAAACAAGAGTCCTCAGGAGCTTGCAGGCCAGCTAGGCTGGAGTATGGACTGAAGGAAGAAACTCTGTCTCAGACAAGGTGGATACATTAGCACTTACACATGAAAGCACTCACACATATATGTGGTCACAGACACCTACACAAACACCATTCAGACATATTAACTGAAGTTTAAGGGGCCTCTTAGCCTTTTGCCACTGATGGCAATTCCAGAATACTGATTAAATCACACTCCAGAGCCCAGGTGCTAGGCTCCACACTCAGTGTCAGCCTACAGGGCACACACTACTTCCTGGGACCCAGCATGAGTCTCAGAATAGTGCCCTGCTCTCTGGTGATGTACCAACCTGAAGGTGGATCCTCTCCCAGCAGGATCATATGCATGTGGCTGAGGGAAGCCAAACCTATCCAGGGTACACTTGCTGTCTACCTCCCTTTGTCAGGTGCTCCTTACTTGGGTTTCTCGGGTTCTTTGGCTGGCAATATTGTCAGCACCAGAGAGGACCTTTTGACAGCCGAACAGGAAATCACCACATTCAGCTTGGGAATGAACTTGACCTGATGACACCAGTTGGGATGGAAAGCCTAGGGAAGAGAATGGCCATGCAGGAGACCCTTTCAGGGACTGTCAAGTTCCATAATCTGCCCCTGGAATGTGACCAGGGCCAGTGCTAGATGGGACTGGAAACCAGAGCCTAAGGCCCTTCCCCTAGTGGCCAAGCTTGGACAAAGTAATGTGGCCCAAGCCCTAGCTGGGGTCAAGTGACCAATGTGTCTGGCCCATCTTGTGCCTCAAAAACCGCCTAAAAGCACCAAGCCCAGTATAATCTGGCTCCTGTTTTCTAAGATGTCTCTTATTTTTAGAAGCCATGGAGTTTGGGCCCATGCTTTCTCCCAAGCATAGAGAAAGGATAAATTCAAGGCTGCCTAGGCCCCAGTCCAGCTTCTATCAGGTACTTTGACCACAAGGAGCCTGTACATCTGGGCCCACTGCCACCCTCTGTGTTTGTCAGAACATGGTGCCAGCAGTGAGGTGCACTCTGCCGTAACTGTGGCAACAGAAAGATATCATCCTGAGGGCAGAGAAGGCAGGCTCTGATTGACCTAGCTCCAGCTCTGGCTGACACCTGTGCTTGACCTCCCATTCTGGAGATTTTCCTCCCTGGGACAAGAAAAGTGGAAAGTAAAGAACAGAGATCGATGAACAGATCAGATCACCAAATACCTATTCACTGCACTGGGCTGCATTTGGTCTCACTAGTTCCCCTAATGTCTGTCATAATAATAGTACCTAATTCAAGGCACCTAACCCAATGAGACTTGGGACACTTAGCAACTTCAACAGTAAACCTTGCCCAAATGAAATGCTCACAAACAAAAAGACAGGGAAGAGCTGGACATGGTGCACAATAATCCTAGCACTTGGGAGATAGAGGCAGGCAGATCAGGTGTTCAAGGCCAGCTTGGGAACATGATACCCAATCTCAAAAAAAAAAAAAATAATAGGGAAGGGGAGTAGCGGGAACTTCCTCCTGAGATGGTCCCGTGCCTGCTCTAAAAGAAGCATGCATTCGACTCAGACCCGCCCTGAGGGACTCAGTCCTTCATTTGTTCCAAAATGTACGGAGAACCACCAAGCCCTGAATGCTGTTCACACAACATCCCTGTCTGCAAGGAGCCATCACTGTCATAACAATGACAAGACAGGAGCAATTCATTGTGTTCTTAGAGACCAAGGCCCGAGGACTGAGACTGAGCCAAGGGAGTAGATCCACTTTTTTGCATTTATATTTGAGCAGTGCATGTACATGGATAATTACCACAGCAACAAGCCAAGAAATGCTACAACTTACCCTCATTTGGTAACTTCTATACAGAGTGGACTTCTCACTTAAGAGTTTTCTCATGGAAACATTAGTCCAGTGATCTGACAGGAAAACAAGCAAAGGCCACATGACCAACTTCTCCTTTGCCAGACAAGCAAACCTCAGATGGCATATTCATTGGCATGCACCTCCCATGCTTCCTGAAAAGCCAACCAGCCAGCTGCCCTCTGGAGCCTCATGTGGCCCTATGAGTTCAGCAGGCACCTCTACCTGTTTCCCTGCACCAGGCAGCTTAGCCCTGCAGTCTAGCCTGGTCCTACAAGCCCACAGCATAATAGTAACCAGGTTTCAGGGCCTGCACCCTGGGCACTGCCATCTGAACAAACTGGCTCTCCATTAGTGAGCTTCACGTTGCAGGGGTGGACAATGAACCGAGACCCCAGGCTCTATTCACTCTGAAAAGAGATCCTTCAGTGGCTTGCCACCATGCCTCAGGAGACACATGGGCTCCTTGGCCAGAAATCACAAGTCAAGTAGAGGGTATCCATAGGCATCATGAACAAGCAGCTCAGTCAGGCACCGCACACAGCACCACTCTGCCCTTGTGGAACCAACCCCCAAGGCAATAGCTGATGAACACTCCAGGGAGAGCAAGCTGACACAGATGGAGCCAGGGGCACCAGGCAACACACAGAGGCCCATCCCCAGGAATGGTTCAAGAAGTAGGTCAGAAATGCTGGTCAGTCTGGTGTCATGTCTGACAGCAACACAGAAGAAAGATGCTGAAGAGGGGCAAGTGGGACTAGGGCTATCTAAGTACTTATTCCAAGCAAAGTCACCAGTCCCCAGTCACAAGGGCCAGAGGAAGCTTGCAAAAGAATTCCCAGGGCTGGGGAGATAACTCAGTCTGTAAAGTACTTACCTTGCAAGCATGAGAATCCAACTTTGATCCCCAGAGTCCATGTAAAAAGCCAGGCAAGGTGGCATGCACTTGTCATCCCAGAGCTGGAAAGGAGACAAGAGGGTCCCTGGGCCTGCTGGCCAGCTGGCCTAGCCTAATTGGTGAGCCTCAGGTCCCACTGAGAGACCCTGTCTCGAAAAGCAAGGTAGACAGGCTCCTGAGGAATGTTAGCTGAGGCTGACCTCTCACCTCCACATTCATGTGCACACACATGCATGAGCACCTGCACATACATACACAAATGTGCACACACATGTACATACACAAGAAGTCCCAAGCCAGGTGGGCTGTTACTCAAGGCTGCTTGCTAGTGGGGCCAGTCATTCATGGAGGTAAAGGGAGCTATATGGCCCCATCTCTCCCACAAGGCTATGAAATCTCAGGAGGATAGAGACAGCCACTGAACATTTCTACATGGCTAACATTCTCATTCTGTGAACCTCCAGCAAAGCCACAAATTAAGCATGGCTGCCCCTATTTGAATAAGGGGACTGAGGCACAGATTAAGCAACTGGCTTCAGGTCACACAAAGCTGGGTACATACTTAGCTCTGTCTGTCTCCTCTCCATGTCCTCTCCTGTAGGACCTGATTTTGCTTTTCCAATGAGAACAACAACCAGCAAGCTTAGCAAGGGGCTTCACCAAGGCTTAGGAGCCCTTGGAGCATCTTACTTGGCTAGAAGTCCCATGGAGGAGGGGTGGCTCTAATGTCCTCCTGGATGGGAGGGTCCCAGTGGCCTGGGCTCCTGGCATGGCCTAGAGGCCTAGCACTGCACCTACAACTCCATCCTGGATAGGATCCAGTTCCAATGAGTCCCCCAGGAAGCCCCAGGCTCTGTGTCCTCTGATGACCTTGCATCCCTTGGCAGAGCATCTCCAAACAACTTCCTTACTCAATTTAGGATGTAGCCCAGCAAGTAGTTAGAATTGCAGTCTCTAGACACTCGGCTTAGCTTCAGGTCTCAGCCACTCCCCAGCCTCCAATGTGTGCAAGCAGCTTCAGCTCATTGAACCTCTCATTACTGAACAGGAACAAGTCACTCAGCCCCGGTGGGTGGTGATGCTAGGAGATGATGCAGCAAGAGCCCAGCACACAGCTGCTCATGATGCCAGCTGCATTTATTCACACTCCTACCAAGCCAGTGGTCCTCCAAGCTTCACCACAGCGCACCTTACAGCAGCTCCAGGCCACCCTCACCCACTCAAAGGTAGCTCAAGACCAAGGAGAGTAGAAGCCATCTTACAGTCATCAGAGGAGGTCCCATTATGGGCCTCAGAGGGCAGGAGAGAGTTCCCAGGGTCACAGCTAATACACTTGGTTCTCCCAGAGGTAAGGAAGATCTGCAGCCCAAGGCCCTCACCTGCAAAAGCTTCCAGCTCAGAGGACTGGATCTCCTCTCAGACCCTCTGGTCTTCTGTCACCACTGCACTACTCCCTTTCCCCCTTGGCCGTTCAGCCCAGTAGGCAGGGCACCCTCCAAGTTCGAAGGAACCTCCTCTCCAAAGGTTCAGAGCTGGGAGACAGGAAAGAAAGAATGTCTCAGAGGCCAGGGCCAACTCAGCACCTGTGTCTACCGACTCCCCAAGCCTCTACCCATTCCCAACCCTTTTAGCTACCCCATTTGGAGGTCCTGGGAAGGATGTGGGGGTTGAACAGCCCAGTGTTCACACTGTCCGACATGAAGATGACAACATTGCCCTTGGTGTCCCCACAGCAGAACACAGCTTTGTGATAGTTGGACCTGGGAGACATGGAAACAGAACGTACTGTGGAGCTTCCTGCCCTGGTTCTCCAAGGACCTCTCCACCTGAGGAATGACAGCAGTTCCAACAGACTTTCTGCATTGCCCTAGGCCTCTGCTCATCTGTCAAGAACAGTCTAATCATCATTTATCAGAATTCAGGGTTGTTTTTCAACCAGTTTTACTTCCCAGAGACCTCAGCCACAGCAGGACCAGCCTTTGCCAGAGTTTAATGACTAACTAGGTAAGGGAAGGAAAGTGTGGGGGGGTGGATTAAGAACAACTCTAAGGTCAGAGTGATGATGCAGATGACCCAAGGAAAGAAGCAGCCTTGAGAAAGAGCCTCAAGACAAATACTGTTCCCAGGAGGCTCTCTGCAGTCCCAGCCCTCCACCCCCAGTGATGTGGTAGCTGTCAAGACCCTGTACACATCTCCTGAGAGACTCACCAGTAGTCCATGACCATGGCACAGCTATCCAGGTCAATAAAGGCGAAGGCTCGGATACATTTGTGGTTACTGATATCAAAGAACTCTGGGAGAAAGAGAAAAAAGGGACATAGAGAGCCGAGAGCCATGGCCCAGACCTAAGGGGTGTCTGGAGATGGTAAGCAGCCCCCCAGAACTCTCTGCCACCTCTCCACTCCTATATCCCTTTCCCCGTAGCAACCAAGGGCAGTAGATCCAAGTAAACTCGCTGAGTCAAGATCAGCTACAAATTCTCCAATCCCCATTTCAGTCACAATAAAACCCCCAGTGCATACCACAACCCACAAAGGCCTATAGGATCAGACACTCTGTAGTTCCAGCTTATCCACTATACCTGGACCACCTCTGTGCCTCTGTTCCTGCCCCCACCAGACTCCAGGCACACTGACCTTTCACCTCTGCAGACACGTGAAGCTCATCCACTTCTGGGTCTTGCCAGTTGCTGCTCTGTCCACCTTGAATACTCCCAGAACCTCTTCAAGACTAGCTCTATGTTCCCTTCTCAGAAAGGCCTCCCCCTTCTCAGTAAAACCCTGTCGGCATTCTCCCTCTCAACTGGCTCCTTCCCTCACCACCTTCACCTCCTCTTTGTTTCTGTTTCATTTGAACACAGGGGCTACATGGCCTGGAGTGTGGGCTGTGTGAGGGCTGGGAGGGGTCTGCACAGACTGACTGGAATCCTCAGCACCTAACACAGCTCCCAGGACTCTAATTTGTTGAGTGATAGTAGCTGTGACAAACAAATGAGGGGGACAAGTGCTAAACCTTGGGTGACACAGGTAGCAAGAAGCCTCTGGCCCCTGTGACTTCAACTAGCCCATCCATCTCTGGGCTAGTTGTCCCTGTTGGTGGTGGGAACAGACAGAAACAGAAAAAACCTCCTCCCCATCGCTCACTACTTCTCATCAGGAAAAGGGGAGCTCCAAACAGATCAGAGACCAGGTAAGTCGACTTCACGCAGATGCATATGAAGAACAGATTGTACAGATGCCATTTGCAGTCTAACTCCTTCCCTCCCTGTCCTGCACCAGCCTGCCAGACTGATCTTCAGGAAACATTCATTTCCTCCTGCTCAAAACCCTTCCATGGGGCCCTGACATACAACTGCTGCAGATAAACTCTCTGGAAAGTCTGAATCCTTCCAGCAGCCATGGCCTCCATTCAATCCAGCTAATGAGCCTCAGTTTCCCACGTTTAAATGATAGGCTCTCAGGTGTGTCTGCCTCCCTACAGGACCAGACACCCCAGAAGAGCTATGGGTCATGGAGCAGGGCTGGCTGGGCCACAGAGGCCAAGATTCATGCTGGTGCCCTTCTACCCCGGCCTCTGGCCTTGACTCAGTGCTCCAAGTAGATAGCAGCTGTTTAGTCAGCAGAACTTGATGGCATCAACCCTTCTGAGACAAGGCTGGCTCTCAGGGCTGTGGTGAAGGGAGAGGACACCAGGAATCATAGGTGGAAGCTAAAGACCTGCCTGTGTCACAACCCCAACTGTTCCAGCTCTTGCTGATGACTGACTGCCTCTCTAGCTGAGTTTGTCCTCATAATGAAGATAGCCTTTGTTAAAGTATCTACTGTATGGTGGCTGGAGAGATGACTCAGTGGTTAAGAGCACCTCCTGCTCTTCCAGAGGACCAGAGTGATTCCCAGCACCCACATGGCTGCTAATAATCATCAGTAACTCCAGTTCCAGGGGATCCAATGCCATCTTCTGGCCTCCATGGCCATCCCACACATGGGTGCACATAACACTCATACACATATAAAATAATTAAATAAATACAAAAAGAAAAATTTTAAATACCTAGTGAATACCATGCACCTCACATACCCAACCCCTAAGTCATACTCACCCTGGAGACATTTGGTATTGACCCCATTTTATCTCTGGGTAAATTGAGGCCCTGGCAGGAAGTAGCTATCCAAAATCACACACCTACTGAGTGGCAAGACAAGGGTTGGAACCCAGGCACTGCCTATTTCAGAACGACTGCTCTCCATCTTCCTGCTTAGTTCTGCACCATGGGCTGTGGGCTCACACATGAATTCCCTCTCCTTAACCACCTGGTACATGTGCTCAGTTGGAGCCTTCTTTCATGCACCCACCCACTCTAGCCACCAAGTGTCTAGCAGACACCAGGTACCTAGATACAAGCTGAGTAAAGCTGACGTAGTCCCTGTCCCCGAGCTCCAGTCTAGAGGAGACAGATACCAAAGACTCACACTGGCAAATGCTACCTAACACTCAGAAGGGGGCTTGACCAGAAGAGGACCCATCTCATGGGATCTTTTTAAGAGGCACCTGACTCAGACTAGGTGACCACAGAGGGTTCCCTGGAGGAAGCAACATCTGCAATGAATCAAAGGAAAAGGGGAAGCTATGGGGTGGGGGAGGGGTACAGGAGGTATAAGAGAGCATGCAGACAGAGCCATAGTGCCCATCAGAGAAGGCCACAGTGGCCTCAGCACAACAAGGAAAGGGTCCTATCCAGGGAAAACTGTGAGCAGTAGGGGTCAGACCCAGTGCCTTGATGACCGTGCTAAGGGGACAGGGCAGGTTTGAAAGTTTTCCTCAAGGAGGCACTTTAAAAGCTCATAGTGGCTGCCATGGGGACCTTGAAAGGAATGTGCCAAGCCAGAGGAGGCTTTGGTGCTGTTCCAGTGACAGCTGAAGGTGGCCTGTGCTGGAGATGACAGGAAACAGGATAGGGGAGACCAGCATGGGCTGTGGTTTATAAATTTGAGCTGTTCAATATTCATATAGTCATTCAGCATTCACTGAGCACACCCACCCACAAAGCAGAGTTGTGCAGTCAGCAACACATGTAACCAACCCCTTGTACCTGCTGCAGCACATAGCACTAAGCAGGCCCTCACCTTACTCAAGACTCTCTACCCAGCAACATTCCCAGAGGACTCCCATCCATGATCCATGGTTGCTTAGCCAACAGGTCTGCCTCTAGTGTAAATGTACTGCTGCCTAGAAGCCAAGCCCAGGCTTGGGGAGCCCCAGGGACTCACCTATCTTCAATTCAGTCGAGGCAACTTCAATGAGGTTCATGTTGTGCAAGCACACCATGTCGATGACCCACATCTGCTGGTGGCAGGACTGTTGGAGCCGAGTAAGCTGGTGGGGGAACAAAGGAGGCTCAGGCCAAAGAAACACACAGGACCCCAGAGCAAGTGCAGACCTGGCACGGAGCCTAGAACTACCACTAAAAAAGCAGGGCCTTGGATAAACTTCCCTAGTAACTAAAGGCCAAGCCCACCTCCAACCCAGAACTTTTGGTCTGTATGACGGTAAGCTCCCAGGGAGTAGTCACTGATGGTACTGGGAAGCCTACCCTTTCCAAAATCTACCCCCAAAGTAACCCCTTCAAGAAGAACCTCCAGGACTCCCAAGGCTTCCCAGGGAGGCTTCCTCTGTCTCTTCAGCCTCCCAGACCCTGGCCCATGAGGAACATAGAAGGGACCATGTAGCAGCCGTCACCAAGAGTGAGCAGCAACATCCTCTTCCATACACATGTAAGAAAAGGAAGACAGAGTATGCCAGAAAACAGCAGCTCAGGAATGCAGACATGAACCTTCCTCGTACCCTCAGGAGAATCATGGGACCTCCACAGACCTTAGCTCCACCCATACCCCTCTTCCCCACCCCTGACCCCTGAAGCACTGGGTGGCTACACAGGTATGGAACCCTTCACACACAGGCAGTGCTCTCCATACTCCTTGCTGGAGGGCCCTGGAGAGAAGAGTTTTCCCCATTTGCCCTCCACTGGCCACACAGAGTACACGCAGATTTGCCTGAGTGTCTTGTCACTTACTACGCTGGGCTATGAGATGGAGCTGAAAGGCTGTGATGAGGTTGGCTCACATTTATCTGTACCTGCTGAGTGCTTTGACCCAGGTCTCACACCATTAAGTTCCCCCATATCCCATGAGGGGGTACTACTCTAGGCTCCCTTAGGTGGGTAATGGAATCGGAGGCATGGAAACTATAGACCACCTTGCCTATCATCCCCAGCTGGGGGTGGTGTGGTTGAATTCTAATCCTGACAGTTGAACTCCAGAACCCACACTCACAACCACATGATTTCCTGCCTGGTTCAGGCAAAGATTTCAATCAGCCAGACTTAGGAGGCTGAGTTCTAGCACAGGAGCCTTGCAGGATGAGGATGATACCACTTACTGACATAGAGACTCAAGAGCAGAAGAGCTCCAGGGACATGCTGTTTGGACACACTGCATTAGAGGTGCCTGCTAGACACTCAGGCAGAATACTGCTTAGTAAATAGCAAGTGTGAGGCTCCCATGGTGAAGTCAGAATCCTGACTCAAGCCCTGTAACTTCAGAGCCAGGCTCGTCAAACCATGAGTGCAAAGACAAGCCTACTTGGGGTGCTACAGAAGAGGGTCTCCAACAGCCCCTTGTGTGCCTCACTCAGCCGAAAAGAGCTCAGCAGCGAGAAGGTCTCAGACCAGAACTGCAAGATTCCATCCTTAGTGACAGTCAAGAAACAGCCCGTATTCTTGAATCGTTGGATTAAAACGCCACTTTCACAACCTCACTTCCATGGTACCTATGGAGGGCAGGAGGCACACAGAATTGGCTCAGAAACAAGAGGCATCTATCTCTGTAAGAATCAAGAACCACAGAAGATGCAGGAAAAAGGCAAGCAGGAACACACACACACACACACACACACACACACACACACACACACTACAATCCAAGAAGCTAGCTGACACCGAGAGACAGGGGCTTTGTCCCTTCTCCAAGTGAACTTCAACTGGATCAACAAAGTTCACAAGAAAACAAACCCCAATGGAGGATGAGGTGTGGTTCAGTGGTAGAGTGTTTGCCTAGCACATATGAGGCCCTGGGTTCCATCCAGAAAAATAACCAGTGATATGAGATGGGGTCCAAAGGCTGATCCTTAGAAATAACCAGCCACATCCTTCACTTTGTGGTGTGACAGTCAAGATAGAGAGTAGTGACTTCCAAAGTTTCCTTCATAGGAAAAAAGGCCCACAGATGGTGGGCTTGTGACTGAAACCTGAGAAATAGCACTTTCTAGCCATTGCATCAGGGCTCTGGGGAGGAGAGAAGAATAGGGTAAGAGTAAACCAAGGGCCAATTTGGAAGTCAGGCCCTGTGCTCCCAACTCTTCATCCCCATTGAGCATAGCAAACAGTTCCTGGAGTAGGCCTGGCCTTACAGAAGGCTGCTCTACAGCTTTCCAGCAAGCTTCATAGCTGCTTTCCAGTGGCTGCTCTCCTGCCCCAGTGTTGGCTAAGCCAGCTCTCTGGCTAGTAAGGCTTACTGCCATCTTGACTCCCTGACAGGGCATCACACACTCCCGCACCTTATCTGCCCTTTGTGGACTGTGGCGGGATGGGTCATGTTACATCACCTTACAGGGAGTTTCATCCTAACCAGGCCCAGTGGAGCTATAACTAAATCCAGGAGCTTTCATCCCTCCTCCAGGGCCCTTTCCTAACTTTGTGGGCACGAGCTCACCTGAGGCTCAAGGGGAACCCATACCACTGTAAAACTCACCTGTACTGCAGTTCCACAGAGTAGGGGCACATGTATCTGAATATAGACCCCCCACCCTATCTCCTGCCCTCAGCTTACTGCTCTGTAGGGAGGGCAACCAGTATTCTGAGTGGTCCCTCTCTCCATCACTTCAATTTTGTCCTATCAGGACCAAAGACTGTGAAGAATATGTGGAAGCTCTAGAGTTAACACAGCCCAGGGAATGGCATCTTGGTGAGGTTTCAGTTTCCTCTTCTGTGTGGTGACAGCACCACTCTCTCTCCCAGGACGGTGAAGAGATCAAAGGGGATGGTACACTGGGCGTGCTCAGCCCAGACTCAGTAAAGGTGAGCCGACTCTTAAAAGTCACCTTTCATAAAATTATCTAAATATTACCTAGCTATTTTCTCCATTAGATTGGAAACTCCCTCTGGTAAATTGTCCAAATAAATTAGGGAAACTAAGGGAGGAGCTTTCTGATATTTTTATGCCAGAATTTTAAACACCCTTGAGATCTAAATGTCTCAGAGAAACAGAAAGATCTGTGTAGGTATAGCAACATCAAGCAAACTGATCATGTCAAAATTACAGTTTTAAAGTCTTTCATATTTATATTTAATTGGCTACTCCTCAATTAACTCCCAACCAAAACTTTTTACAAGCTACTCTTTTATTATTTCAATTAAAATGCCTTCTCCACTAATGTTTCTGGCTGCCTGAGGCAGAGACAACTTCTTTCTAGATCTTGGTCTTCCAAGGCCTATACTGGGCATGGTTCTCTGAGGACAGACCCAACCCACAGCCCACTCTAACCAGGCCACAAATGTGGCTCACCTTGCTGTGCTCCACAAGAGCAGACTCCCTAGTCCTGGCCACACACCCCAGGCTGCTGGTCTTTCAACTCAAGGTAGGTTCCAGGAGAGAAGTGAATGTCCCACAGGCAGCCCAGCTCAAGAGCCCTGACTGCAGGAGAACATGCTCTAAACCAACGAGAGCATTCCTAGTCCTTAGGGAGTTGGAGGAAGGAACACACTAAGTGGTGCAGACAGGGCCACAGCACAGAAAGGAAGAGGCTACTGACATTTGAAACACGCTATTCCAAAACATGGCACCTTCGTACACTGAATATTTTCAGCTGAAAGCATTTGAGAAACTGTGTTCAGGAGGAGTTCTTGACCTTTCCCTGAAGCAGGTCATAAGATCCCACATTGGAGCAATCTTGTCTCCTGTTTTTCTTTTTCACTTTCTGTCTTCCTTTCTTCCGAGATAGGGTATCCTGCAGCCCAGGCTGGCCTCAGGAAACTTTTTTTAAAAATTTTAATTTTATTTATTTTTATTTTATGTGTATGCGTGTATTGCCTGCACGTAGGTAAGTGCACCCGTGTCGTGCAATGCCCGCCGGAGGTCAGAAGAGGCTGTCAGATCCCCTGGGACTGGAGTTACAGACAATTGTTAGCTGTCATGTGGGTGCTGGGATTCGAACCTGGGTCTTCTGCAAAAACAACCATCTCTCCAGCCCCATAACCAAGGAAAACTTTGAACTCCTGATCATCCTGCCTCCACCACCTGAGTACTGGGATTACCACTCCCAGCTGCAACCTTACCTCTGAGAAGCCAAGGACACAGAAAGGAATGAGTCGAGAAAGACTGGCAAGACTCCAGTTATTACACCAACTCCGACCCATTTCGTGCTATCTCATTTTCCCATGACACTAGGGATGTAGCTCAGTTGGTAGGTGCTTATTAGCATGCATAAAACCCTGGATTCAAACCCCAGCACTGCATAAAACCAAGGGCATGCCTATAATTCTAGCACTCAGGAGGTAGAGGCAAGAGAATCAAAAGTTCAAGGTCATCCTCACCTACATGTCAAGTTGGAGGCCAGTCTGGGATACATGAGACCTATCTCAAAAAGATAAGAAAATAATTTCCCTGTGACTCTTCTTCAAACCTGGCACACAGCACTCTGGATTTATTGTTTCTAGAACCTTCACTTCCCTGGGAGGGTTCCAATTCGAATGTAAAACTTATATTGTCAATTGGTACACTCTTCTTTTGTGGGTCTGTCTTCAGACACAGGAGCCTTCCAAGGCCGACCTCTGGTGGGCGCTGTGGGTGAAGGTGCCCCAGGAGGAGTGAGAAGCAAGTCAGGCAGAGTCAAGGCAGACAGAGCCACTAAGCTCCAGCCACCGTCCACTCCTGGGGCTCCAGGAACAGCTTCCTCCCTGTCTCCTCATAGGAGAGTCCCATCCGCAGACATGTGAGCCATCTGTGCCTCTGGGACTGAAACCAGCAGGTTCACTCAGCACTGATCATGGGGAAGAGAGCAAAGTATGCTGAAGAGATGGGGAGGGCCAAGCAAGCAAACCCACCACTTTCTGCCTACTGGCCTGGGCAGACCAGCTGGCTTCTCTAAGCCTCAGTTTAATCATCTGTGAAAAGGGGACAAGCCACCTACCTTCATCATCATGAACATCTACGGATTATAAGGCTGACAGGACTAGAGCCCATTCAGCACCAGGCCTGGAGCCAGGCCCCTGGATAGACCAGCAGTGTGGCTCATGAGGAGGTGGCCTCCTGAGGACTGGTGCCGGCATGTGTCCATCACACCCCAACTGCAGGGAAGGGGATCTTATAGAGGGATGATGGTCATGGGAAGGTGGAAGCACAGGAGGTACTGGCTCTTCCTCATGTCCTCCTTGCCCTGGAACTCATGCATCATGTAATCCACATATTTTTGCTGCCTCGGAAAGATAGGGCAAGGGAGAGAAGGTATTGGTGGTGGTCTCTGTGTTTGCCTTTAGGGACCCAAGCCTAGTGTCCAGCATCCTTCCCCCATATCTCTGCAGCTCCCTCCAAGTGGCTCTGAGAACCCACCAAGGAAGTGGCCAAGCAACAAGCTTGTGGTTTAATCTCAAATGTGGGAAGAACCTATTGGCAAGCACTATCCATAACACTAAGTACAGTTTGGCTACAGCCACACCTGGCCTCCCATGTAAAGCTCCTAGTCAGCTTCACTTCACATAAAGGATTGACATACTACCCACATAAGTCTGAGTTTGTTGGGGAATCTTGCTGTGAGGGTTGCAGTCTTCCATGTCGGGATAGCTCTAAGGAGCTCGGGCGCCTGATGGAAAGACTCCACTTTTCAGCAGGGGGCCTCCTACCTCTCTTCCTGACTCATCTTTGAAGTAGCCGCCACAGATACATAGCCTCTGGCTCTGAAACTGCCAGGTTTTCCTGTGTGATAATCAGGCAATGTCTGGCAGCCTGGCAGAAGCCCACCACCACATGTAAATGGGGCATCCTGAAAGCACCTATCCACTAAGGCTTTTGCCACTGCCCCCACAGTATAAATATCCTGGTTTCCCCCTAATTAATCGGAGCTGAATCACTAAGACCTGGAGCCGAGCTGAGTCACTGAATAAAGGAGCTGTACTGAGCTGAGTTCTGTGTCTTACTGCCTACGATCCAGTCTTCCCGGAGAGAGCTGTCTCTTCATAAACCATGACTGACGGAGACCCTGCTTTCGCGGTCTCCGCACTTTCCACGAGATCCGGCGGCCGGCGGATCTCGTACCTCGAGGGAGTGCTTGGTAGTTTGGGACGGAACCTGCCCGGGCTGCTGACAGTGGCCCTCCAGAGCCACCAGCCCCGGTAGCAGAGACCCACAGCAACGCGGTGCGCGACCCGCCACACCCCAGTGGCACGCAGGAGACCGGCGCCATGCCCAGCAGCTGGTGCTCCGAGTCCCTGCGACCCCATATGAGTTATCTAAGCTAACGACAAAGCTAACAGTAGAGCGAGCTCATAGCCAGGTGAGTGCACCTGTCCTACAAACATCTGCAACTCTACTGGTCAACCTCACTAAAATATAGCCAAGGTCCAAACAAGCCATCATAAACAAGAAATAGAAGCCAGGCATGGAGGTACATCTATAATCCCAGCTACTCAGGAGGCTGAGGCAGGTGGATCATCTGAGCCCAAGAGTTTGAGACCAACCTGGACAGCACAGCACCTGTATGAATTGTGGTGGCACGTCTTTGATCCCAGCACTGGGGAGGCAGAGGAAGGTGGAGCTCTCTGAGACTGAGGCCAGCCTGGTCTACATAGAGAGTTCTAGGCCAGCTGGGGCTACATGGAGATCTTGTCTCAAAAAGACCACAAAAAAAAAAAAGGGAGAGAAGAAAGGGGGAAAAGTGGGAAGAGAGAGACTAAGGACGTAGCTCAGTGGTAGAGCGTTTGCCGAGCATGCAAAAGGCCCTGAGTTCAATCCCCAGCACTACAAAGAAAAGAAGGGGGAGGGGGAGGAGCATTGTGTAGATGGTAGAGAATGCTAGAAATGTGTTTATGATACCCAAACCACGAAGAGGTATGAACGCTGACTCAACTAGTAACCAGCTCTGTAACACTGAAGAAAGGTTCCTAATGACTCTGTGCCTCAGTTTCTCAGCCACTATCCTCTGGTTCCTGCAAGGCTTCAGCAGAGGAATTCACTGAGCACTGTGTCTCATTGCTATCTTTAACACATCTATCTGTCAGGCGAGGCTCTGTGCTTTTCTGTAGGCTTAATGCTGTGTGCTGTTTGACATTCAGGTTCTTTAAAGACTTACTAATTTTTTTTGAGGAAGGGTCTCCCTGTAGCCCCAGTTGGCCTAGAACTCACTATGTAGGACCAGGTGATTTATTTTTACTTTATGTGTATAGGTGAGTGTTTGCATGTAAGTGTGTGCCACATGCATGCCTTGTGCCCAAGGAGACCAGAAGAGGTCATTGGATCCCCTGGAACTGTAGTTATAGGCAGTTGTGAGTTGCCATGTAGGTGCTAAGAACTAAACCTAGGACCTTTGCAGGAACAGCAAGTGCTCTTAAACGCCGAGCCGCCTTTCCAGCCCCACATTCAGTTTTTAAGTCAGCATTATTACTATGCTGTGAAGACCTGACAGTTCTGGATTTAACAACCATGGACTTACATATTCCTGAGTGACCCCATGATGGGGTCATGACATGTTCCCTACACTGGATGGGAAGTTGAAGTACAGGATAGCTGTACTGCAGGTGGGAATGTCCTGCGACAGGTCTCACTGTGGAGGAGGTCAATGAGCCCACTTCACAGAAGTCTCAGAAACTGCTCAGAGACACTGAGCTTCTCTCCACCTGGTGCCACTGTCCAGGGTAGTTTGTGACACTTGCTGCCTCCCCATCTTAAAGCCTCCACTTGCTTTGCTAATAGGTTAAGGCTGGACTTTCCAGCCTCCCCCAGCTTCCCAAGGCAGCAGGGTACCCTCCTTACCCAGGTGACAAAGCTGGCGCAGTCTGAATCCACCTTCAAGAAAACTACCTCCAGCATCTCTTCCAAAATGTTGCTCAGCACCCTCTTCATGATCCTAATGAAAGCTTCCTTGTTCAGGGCTTCAAAGAGAGAAGAACATGGCCGCTCAGTCCCGAGCCACCTGGCTCTCCACAGGCCACAGATCCGTGGATGCTGGAAGGCACAGACAGAAGACCATGTCTACTGGGTGCCTTCAGATCAAGACACTCTCTGCTATCATCCTGTGATGGTCAGTTAGATCCCCACAAGGGAGACCAAAGGGAGAACTGCAGCCAGAGGTGTGGAGCCTTAGGAGGCTGTCCCTTCCCACCCCTTCACATGAATCATGAGCTTGGCCTTGTTTACTCTTCCTTCAAGTCTCAGCATCCACCCTAGCAGAGGCCTGCTGATCCCTGAAGCTTCCACTATCACATGGTTATCTTGTGCATGTTATTTGCCCACATTCAGTCATTCCACAAGCCCTTATGACCACCTGCTTCTGTGTTGGCCCCATGGCAGGAAGGTAGACAAAGGTTCTTAAAAGACCAGGCCCACTTCTGATCAAGGAAGACACAGTATGTCTTACAACAACCTCAGTTCTTCAAAGACCAGAAGCAACAGTCAAATGGAAGTAAAAAACAACAACAAAGAGATTCAGTCACACAGGGAAAGAGATATGGGGTAGTTCAAATCTAGGGCCTCAAACATGCTGGCAGGCACTCTTTTAACATTTTTTTTAAATAAATTCATGAGGCTGGAGAGACAGCTCTCAGTGGTTAAGAGCACTGGCTGCTCTTGCAGAGGACCCAGGTTCACTTCCCAGCACCCACATGGCAACTAATACCCATCCCTAACTCTAGATCCAAGGACTCTGACACTTCTGCAGGCATTGTACACATGTGGTACACTTACCATCATATACATAAAATAAAAACAAGTAAGCCAGGTGTGATAGTGCATACCTTTAATTCAAGCACTCTGGAGGCAGAGGTAGGTGGATCTCTATAAGATCAAGACCAGTTTGGTCTACATAGTAAGTTCTAGACCAGCTGGAACTACAGGGAGACTCTGTCTCAAAAAGAAAAAAGAAAAAAAAAAAAAAAAGAATTACCTCCTGTTAGGCACACTAGCTATTCTTACAAAAGACCTGGGTTCAAATTCCAGCACCCACATGGCAGCTAACAACTGTCCATAACTCCAGTTCCT